AAATGGTGCACACATTTGAATTTTCCCCTTTACTCATACAGCAATTTTAGCCAAAATGAAGCAAAGCGCAGCCGAGCTGAGTGGTGGATGCAGAAATTCCCCTGCACCCCTGCCCTCGCATGCACGGGATGTTCCCTTAGTAACCCCAGCTGGACACACCGCAGTGACACATTGTCTCCGGCCACAGTCTGATATAGGATTCCCCTCTGAGTGCTGTGATTACCATTAATGAATAAAGAAACTGCCTTGGCCTGTTGATAGGGCCGAACTTAGGTAGGCAGGGAGGTCTGGACTGAATGCTGGGAGAAAGAAAGGCAGAGTCAAAGAGATGCCATGGAGCCGTCATAGACAGACATGCCAAATCTTTGCCGGTAAGCCACTGCCATGTGGTGGTATACAGATTAATAGAAATGGGTCAAATTAATATAAGAGTTAGCTAATAAGAAGCTAGAGCTAATGGGCCAAGCAGTGTTTTAATTAGTATAGTTTCTGAGTGGTTATTTTGGTTCTGGGTGGCTGGGACAAACAAATGGGCCCTCCTCCACCAACAGTCTACCTTCCCTGGGCACCATAGTTGGCGCTGTCCATTCTGACAATTTTCTGCTTAGAATGGTGTTTATCAGGAACTAGCACCTCACACTGTGAATGACTAAATCTTCCTGCTGTTAAGATACAGAAAATTCAGAGGCTGTCATTCCAACCAGCTTTTAAAAAGTAGGAAAGTTATCCACTCGCATGATTACAGTTCCAGAGTTGAGCCCAGGTGCGGTGCGGCACACTAACAGATGTAACCAGAGACACAGGTCCTTCCTTGTTGAGTTCTGCCATTTCTGGACCAGTTGAACTCCCTCTCTCTCAGTTGCTGGACGCTGTCCAGAGGAGAGAAGTGGATAGAAGACAGCATTTTACAGTCTCCCCCAAACCTGAACGGCAAGCCCAACAAGCTATACCTTCCTGAATCAGCAACCATCACCAGTTGTGATGGCCTTAGGCTATCTGGTACCGTCTTTTGGAGCCAGGAGGAGAAGGAATTAATTAACCAAACAGAGCTGGATGGGTTAAGATGGAAGGAGGGAAGAAATGATATAAGAAAGAAACCTAAGCACCTGCCAGTAAGAAACAGGTGTAGAGCACTCAGAGAGGGTTCGTGCTGTGCAAACTTCTACACTGTTAAAAACAAGGCATCTGTTTGTGGTGACATGGCAGAGAGTGGGAACCCCTGACGCCAGGCTGGCAGAGATGAAGAGACCATAGAACCACACTAAGATGGTGACTGGCATTCAGTAGGTACTTAATAAATGTTCTCTGCTGCCTGGTGAGCTTTGCCAAGATCCTTTAAATGCCAAAGTTTAAATGTTACTAAGATTTTCTTGACTCAAGCATCCCTACTTCCTTAAAAGTATTGATAAAGAAACAAGAGATAGGGCCCGACAGTGCCTGGGGCTGCAGCATCCTGGTTGCTTCTTCACCACGGGGAAGGGTCATCATGGCTCTGGGACAGAGCAGCATCTAGGAACTCCTGCATTTGATGGAGTGGACACAGGAGCTAGTGCCGCATTTTCTGCAGGTTGGCATTTCCCCCTTGCTGAGGTGAATAACTCCTTCTGGTAACAAGGCTAGCAATGTCAAGTAAACAGCTTCCCAGGACCCAGACGGGAGCTGTTCAGAAGAGAGAAGGCAAGTGCCTGCCGATTACAGTGATTTCCACTACATTTTCCTCTTTCAGACAGTCAGCCTTTGCTGAAGGGTCTTCAGCAGGACGTAGGCAGCCAGCAGCCCTTAGAGGAGGGAAAGGGGCATTTTAAATGTAAGTGAGGCGCTGAGGGCGGGGAGGCTAGGCAGCTTGGTCAGGCTTCCTCTGACTAGGATGCTCCCCTGGGCCTGGTTTCTTCTGAGAAGCGTTTCCAGGATTGCTAGAGTAGGCCCTTGATGTCTGTGCTGTCTTTCAGCTTTACAGAGCCTATTTTGCATATAATATGGTTCGCTCGTTTCCAGTGTTGAACCCGACTCCTTGATTGTTGATAGAGGTTTCTGTCCCACCTGGTCCTGCAGCTGTTCCGTCCCAAAGAAATACACAGAAGTCTACATTAATTACAAACCGATTGACCCAGTAGCTCAGGCTTCTTATTACTTAAGATTACTGGCCATCCATCTCCTCTGGAGAACTGTGTGGTTGACTCTCTTGACTCTTTAATCGGGGTAGTTGCACGGCTGCTGAGTCATGGCTGTTCTTTCTAAAGGATTTCACAGCATTTTCAACCCAGTCTATGGTTGAGACAGGATCTCTCTACACAGCCCTGGCTGTCCTGGAACTCACTATGTAGACCAGGCTGGCCTTGTGCTCACAGAGATTTGCCTGGCTCTGCCTCCAGAGTGCTGGGACTACAGAAGTGTGTCCCTAGGCCCAGCTTGTCTCTTCACTTTCTTGATAGAGAGCTTTGATATAGAAAACATTTTAATATTTTTGAAGAACAATTTATTAGCCCTTTTTCTGTCACTGTTGCCTGAGCAGTTAGTGGGAAAAGCATTGCTCTTTTGAAAAAAACAAAAAACAAAAAACAGAGAAGTGTGGTGTTGCACACCTTTAGTCCCAGTAGCAGGGAGGCAGAGGCAGAAAAATCTCTGTGAGTTTAAGGCCAGCCTGGTCTGCAAAGTGAGTTCCAGGACAGCCAGGGCTACGTAGGGAGACTATGTCTCATGAACAAATAAATAAAGCCAGAGAAAAATAATCAATTTATGAAAATCAAGAAAACAAAGCTACCTGATGCCATGATGGGAACCGAAACCCTTTCCCTGTGATTAGCTTCTCTAAATACTGAGTTATTTCCACCACGTCTCTTGGTACGGGTTAAATGTCAGTTGCTGCTACTGAGTGTTTGAGACGCAGCTAGCATGTCAGACAGACTGAGGTTCAAGCTCTTGCCTGTTCCAGAGCTCTGTGTCCTGAGATCTGAGAGGCATGTTTATTAGAGAGGTCTTTTCGGTTCCAAGTGACAGGAAAGTAATTTAAAGCAGCTTAGCTAGAAAAGGGAAATTACTGGTTCATGTGGCCACCACACGGAAGCGAGGAACCGTGGCTTTAACTAGAGGCAGATCTCTTCTTTCCTCCTTGTTTTCCTCTCTACTGTGACCCGGATGCTCATTTCCCCACCCCCTCTGGATATGCCAAAATCCCAGCCCTCGCTGTAATGGGAGGCGGTGCCTTTAAGAGGTGTTCAGCCACAGTCCTGATGATGGTTATTTGTTTCCTTATAAAAGAGGCTGAGAGAGCACCCTCACCTTCCATGTGATGTTATCAGCGAAGACGAGCACCTATGAACCAGGAAGCAGCCTCTCCTTAGACAGTCTTTCCGTTGGCACCTTGATTTAAGACTTCTCAGCCCTTGTCACTGGAAATAGCGTCTTGGGTGGCGTGTTTATAAACCGCCCAGTTTCTAACAGTGTGGGCAGTAAAAATCCTCCGCGTCTCTCATTCTTTAAGTATCCTGGCTTTGGTTTAGACTTCCCTTTACCAGTTGGCCCCATTCCTCTGTATTGTGTGTAACTTCCTTTGTGTGCAGGGCTGGTGAGGGGCGGGGTGGTTATGAGCTCTTGTTGCATAACATCTTACCGTATTGTCCAAGTCCCAGTGATTGCTGCTAAGGTCTCTTTGGATCAAGTGCCTATCTCTGAATCAGTCTCCATGGCCAGGGAGAGGGACCACTCTTGACTGATAGGTCGTTGATTTGGGGGACTGCTTGTGTGCAGTAAATCCACATAGACACATAGAACATGCCCTAAACACTGTGAACACACAATTGAACATGTACATGCCTGGTTTCCTTTAACAGTCTCTGTTAAATTTGGTAGGATGTTTCTCATTTGATAAGGAATTTTTTTTAGATATAAATGAAAACATTGTACTCTTGTAAGATAAAGACTTTTTGACTCATGGAAATTTCCAATAGAAAAAAAAATTTTGACAGAATTTTGACATTGGGGGTGGTAACTTTATGGATGGAAAGAAAGTTTATATGTGCACACAGTGGGACAAGAATAAAGACCAGCACACAAAAATAATAAAATAAGAGTGTTCATGATTCATCTTTCAGAAAGCGACAAGATACAAAAATGGTAATGAATGTGGCTTTAAGAAGGGAAGCCCAGGCTAGTATAATACCGCATGCCTTTGAAACCCTCACTTGGGAGGCAAAGGCAGGCAGATTTCCATAGGTTTGAGGCCAGCCCAGGCTACACAATGAGACTCACTCAGAGGGAGAAGGGGGGACTTGATCCAGGCTACAGTGCCTGTGGGACCCGTCATGGGGCAGACAACCACATAATCGGCAAGCGCTAGCATTCCCCCCCAAGGCCGCCACCAGTGCAGTCTTCAGACAGGACAGGAACAGAGGGGTTCTGGGTTCCAAAACTGTGAGCCCAAAAAGGCTAATCGTCTCATTGATGTAAGCTAAACAGAAATACGAAGCCCAGAAAGGAAGGTCTGACTGTTGGGTGAGAAGTGTCCATGTTTGGGAATGACCCAGTGTGTCTGTATTTGGGCCCGTGATGGGAGAGTGACAGGACACAGGGGGCAGGGAACAAAGAGCTAGGAACAGGTGTGGTCTGAATGACAAGAAGATACCAGGGAATTCCCAGCACAGGAATGGCAGCTAGAGATTTCGTGGTGGTCTTTGGGAAAGGGAGAGACTGGAGGCACAGCAGCCTTCTCGACGGGGAAAGGCACTTGGTTCTGATTTGCTACAGAAGACGTAGGATGGAGAAGACCCGGTTTTGAGGGAGGTCTAGACACTTGGTTCTGATTTGCTATAGAAGACAGAAGACGTAGGATGGAGAAGACCCGGTTTTGAGGGAGGTCTTCTGTGCCCTTAGAACCCAGCAGGGGAGAGAACAATGGTGATAGTCATCACTGTACTTCCAAATGGTGCAGGGTTGGAGGCACGGTCCCTCTAATCCTATGCATGCTAGACCCTGCACATTCTGTTCTGTTATCTTCTCAACAGGAAACTTCCAGCTGATTGCAGATCCAGCTTCGTTTGAAACCGTGGCTGACTTAGTCCGTTCTGTCCGACTGCCCCAGAGTCCCGAGACTCACAGAAGTCCTCCCTGTTTCCAGAACTTAGTTCCCATCTCCACAAATGATTGGCCCCTGATGCTGAAGAAAAGAGAAATGCTATCCTTAATCGGCCTCGAGGAGAGTCATGGGAGGAAGCTGCTGCGTTGTGAGGTGAGGAAGACGGACCCTCCCCTGAGGCTGCTCCTGCCCATGAACTGCCGGGGTCACTTCCAGGAGTGCCCGGATGACCAGTTCTACTCCATTGACACCATCGTGAGGTGGAAGCTGCTTGCAGGGAGGAAACGCAAGGTTCGGATGGAGGCAGGATACCGTCTGAGGCTTCTTAACCCCCTGGTTCCTGCGCACTTTAGTGGCCATCTAGTTCTGCACCCCTACTTCTCGGTGAAGGCATACCTGCCAGGTAAGTGGGGGAAAACAGTCTGGTTCTGTTGCGAGAACAAGAAACCTTGAGGCTGAGGTAATTATAAAGAAACGAGCCTTTATAGCTCCTAGCCTTGGAGATTGAAAGCCCAAATCGCAAGGCGCCAACTTTGGCAGGGACTTTGTGGCAGGTGGCAACATGGCAGAGCTCTTGCAAGAGAGAAAGACTACGTCTTTGCAAGACAAGAAGCCGCAGCAAGGAGGCAGTATAGCCGTTCTTTAACTTGACAGGTGCTACTAGAACTAGCTCCATCCCGCTGTGTCTAATCTCACCTCTCCAGGGACCAGGTTTTCGGAACAAACACTCTTGCAGGACAGGCTCAGATCATACTCAAACACCCATGCCGCGGGCAACAAAAGCGAGGACGCTGCCCCCTACAGGCATAGAAGGGCATTTGCTTCAAGGACTTGGGCTGTAGACTGTGCAGGCAACTTGCCAAGGTCCAAAGATTTGTAAATCGATGGGTTGAAGAACCCCAGGAATAGACGCAAAGATTCCATTTTCAGAAAGTGGTCACGTCTTACCTCACTGGCTCCTCGTCTTGATTTATGGAAAACTATTAGATGCTGGAGACATGCCCCCCCAGGTGATTTATCCTAGTAGTTACACATCCTCTCCATCCCATGGCCCATTATTATATCCTTATCATCATACGCATTTAAACACACTCCTGCAGTAAACCTAAGATGCTCTAATTTGATTCCCTTAATAAATATCCATACCATGTCGACAGTCAGATGGACCGTAAGCAGATAAAAAAAAAGAGTTTCTCCTTTGCGTGGATTTATCATTGATATATTTCCTTATATGTCATCATAAAAGCTAGTTCCTCACCACCCATTAATTTTATGGTTTTGTTTATAGTCCACGGGAAAGCCAGACTCCAGTGCACTTTTCTTTCTTCTCGTAGACTGCACCGCATTACGGTTCTTTGCAAAAAGAAACGCCGCGTTATGTTCAGTGTGAATTTATAACAGCCTTCAGATTCCGCCTGCTGGAAGATCCCTTTCAGTTGGCAAGGCTTGTAAAAGACTAATTTCACCCTGTGGCGGGACTCGAGGAGGCGTGGTTTCCTTTGTTGTTGGGTTTCCGACGGAAGTTTTGCTTTGGCTTGTCTAGCTTCGGCTTTGCTTATCGGTTGTACGTAGAACTGACCGCGACACGTTCCCCCCAGTCCTCACTCCATGACGTCTCCATAGTTCATGTCTTTCATCCTTCACCTGCTCAGTCTTTCGAGCAATGACAACAGCTGTGAGTATCACAGGATCGGTTGGTCTAGCCGTCCCCAAAGGGACCTTGGGGGTAAGGACTCACCTCCAACCCAGCCTTCTTCCTAACCCGTTCTTGCTGAGCCGTTCCTTGCTTTGCCTCGCTCTGGCTTCTGAAGCTCACAGCATACAGCTTCTACCAAGATGAATGGATTTTGTTTATCGCTAAAACTATGAGGTTGGACTGAGGCTGTGGTTTGGTGGCAGATCATGTGCTTAGTATGTAGGATGCCCTGGGTCCCATCCTAGCAGTGGCTCAGGGTAAGAGCACTGCGTTAAATTCCCAGCACACAGGGCAGTTCACAATGGTGTGTTAACTCCAGTTCCAAGAGACCTGACGCCCTCTTCTGGCTTCTGTGGGCATTGCACGCATGTGGGGCACAGTTATAAATGCAGGCAAAACACCCATATGCATAAAATTTTGTTTAAATTATTTTAAGTGAAAATAAATAAAGTGGAACTGATTTTCGAAGAGACAAAAATTGAAATACCCTTCAGTTTTAAGTGTACTGATATTTAATTTTTATTTTAATAAATAAAGCTTGCCTGAAGTTCAGAGAGTAAAACAGTCACACTGGCCAGCCATACAGACCACGCTTCAATAACTCACACCTTTAATCCCAGTAGCTACACTAGCTTGCCATAGAAACTGGGTGGTGCACGCCTTTAATCCCAATGGTGCATGCCTTTAATCCCAGCCCTAGAGAGGATTATAAAATGGGAGGAGTCAGCTCTCAGACACAATCTCAGGCTGAGATTCCTGGAGGCAGAATCGCCATTTTGGACTGAGGTCAAAGTAAGAGCTGGCTGCTTTGCTTTTCTGATCTTCAGGTTGAACCCCAGTTTCTGTCCCTGAGTTTTTATTTAAGTTTTCATTTAAGTGTGACTCTATCCATGTCCCTGTCAGTCTGGCTGTTTGGGAGACTTAGACAACAGGGTCATTTGAGCCCAGGAGTTTGGGGATAGCCTGGGAAACAGTAAGATTCTACCTCACAAAAGTATTCTTTGTAGAGCTGAAGAGACGTGACTTCGCAGTTAAAAGTACTTGTTGCTCTTCCAGAGGAGCCAGGTTTGATTCCCAGCACCCATGTGGCAGCTCACAACCACTGCAACTCCAGTTACCGGGGTCCAACATCCCTTACTGGCCTCTGCAGGCACTAGACATGTGTGTGGTGCACAGACATATATGTAGACAGAGCAACCATACATATAAAATAAATAAATCTTTTAAATTTTATATTTTTTACTTTTTAATAAATTTTTAATTAATGTCACCCACAGATAAAATGTGCAACGCATTTGAACAAGCCCTTAAGTCCTGGGCTATCAGCACCATGCACTGAGCTATCTAGATGACAATGACTGTGGACCAGGCTATGGCCTAAAACACTTAACTGTCCCAGAAGGACTAAGTTTGTCAAAGATTAAGGCCAGGTTCCTATAACAGCTTCTAAAATTGACCTAACTTGGTATTACCAAGCTGATAGAGATCCCTGAACAGCAAATCTAGCCTTTGGCACAGGTTTCTGGCTAGAGTTCTCAGCACCAGAGTGAGGCCAGGGCTATCTTCTTCACTGGGCAAGAGAGGATGACAAGAACTTTGTGACACAGGTTGTAACTGTGGCCAGGGGTGCTGCGTACATCAGCTGATGTGAGCTAGACTTACCAAATAGTGAGGCCAAGAGAGACGGGTCGCTGGTTCACAGCACTGGCTGCTCTCCCAGAGAAACTGAGTTTCGCTCCCAGCCCTTGTCTCAAGCCACTCTCCTGTAGCTTCAAATCCAAGGATGCAAAGCCTGGCTTCTGTGGGACCACAGACAGATAGGACATATATTCACATATTGCACACATGCATATAAACATAAATAAGTCTTTTTTTAAAAAAATGAAGTGATTATACTAGAAATTAACTGAGAAATTGAAACCACGTTCACTTGCTTTAGAATAACAGCAATAAACCTATTTTAGCTTCAAAAACTATTATTGATAGGCCAGCAAGCTAGCTCAGAGGTTATAAAAAGGATACACGTAAAGCCGGGTGATGGTGGCACACGCCTTTAATCCCAGCACTCGGGAGGCAGAGGCAGGCGGATCTCGAGGCCAGCCTGGTCTACAGAGCTAGTTCCAGGACAGGCTCCAAAGCCACAGAGAAACCCTGTCTCGAAAAACAAACGAAAAAAAGGGATACACGTAGTTAAACCTTCTGGTCATTTTCACATTTTAATGCTTAAGGGAAACCTGAGAGGGGAGGGCTGAGAGGCATCTGCTTGCTTCTTGAACTGTGTAAATATTCTATCCTTTCAGAGCCTGCTCAAAACCATCGCCCACTTGGACTTTCTGAACTTTGAAAGGCTACCCAGAGACCCTCCTAAAGCTACCGCCTTAGTAGTTGTGGGTTATTGTTTTCATCCTTAAAGATCATTTAAGCCAGGGGAGTGAAAAGATGGCTCAGCTGTTAAGAGTACTTGCTGCTCTTGCCGAAGGCCTGGGTTTGGTACCCAGCACCCACACGATGGCACACAACTGTCTGTAACTCTAGTCCTGGAGGTTTCAATGCCCTCTTCTTGCCTCCACACATGGGGTACACTCATACATGCAGCCAAACACTCGTGCACATAAACAAAAATACTTTTTTTTTTAATTTAAGCAAAAGAAATCTCCGCAAGCCTGTGCTCCCAGCGCTTGGGAGACTGAGGCAGGAGGATGCTGAGTTCAGGCCTATAGCCACACTCTGACAGACTCATACGCATTCTTCTGAAATACGGTGATGTAGAAATACGTCTGTCTGTGCCTTCCTTTCTGGCTCCAAACGGATCCCACACCCCCATCCTACTCTAGAAACCGTCATTTCGTTCTAGCCCTTCCATGCCCCTCGTCATACAGCCCAGAGGCTGGACTGACCTGTGAAGGTGATATCAACACACATTTCTTCCATCACATAGTAGTCAACCAAGAAACGGAAGTTCTCAGAGAACTCAGGAACGTTAAAGAGGACGAGGGACTCTCACCTACATTGCCTCCCAGGGCTCCAACCAGGCTGTGCGGGGTTCTGCTAACTACACAGGGAGTGTAACTGTTTTCTGGGGCTGTCTCCCATGCTCTGTCCAGACATTTTTGTTTTCAATCTTGTATTAAGTTCTTCTCAAATGACCTGTTTTGGAAGCCATGTGATTCTTCCAAGAGCTGTCGTAAGTCTTATCCAAGTCTTAACCACAGACGAGAACAGTAAGAGCTCCCATTGCCGCCTGGGGTCTTGGTGGGGATTGTGGATGCGGGATGGCGATGAGCTGCAACACACTCAACTGTGTGCCCGCTTTCTAGTTGGGCCCCTCGTGTCCTTTATGAAGAGTGTAGATTCACGATTGCGTTCACTCCGCGGTACCAGACACACTGACAGATCCCGCGGCAATAGAAGGCTGGAACCATCCTGCTGGTAGAGTCATGTGAACATAGCAAACCTCTTGGGTAACATGGTACAGTCAGTAGGAGAGGGTTATCGGTTGTAGACACAAGAGAAAATGCATGAATCCGTTAGCTGTGCTTCCTTCCAAAGCCTCATGCTGTATCCCTTTTGACTTTCCCAGGTTCGGTCCAGATCAGCATCCCCTCCGATTTGGACATCCATATCACTGAGATTAGCTCCTTGGCTTGTAAGCCCTTTGCACTGATGACAATGAGAGAAATATACGGTATGGACGCAAACAAATTCCCAGTGAGAATCAAAATAATGAGTGTGAGCCTGTCGGAGAGCAAGGCGGTCCCAAAGCCTTTGAAGAACGGGCAGCTCTTAACCATCCTCAGGACAGAAGAGGTGAAAAAGTTCGTTGCCACGGAAATTTCCGAAGGGAAGAAAGGGAGGTGTTTTCTCATCCCATACACCTATCAGGGCCTGATACTTAGGGGGGGTCGCTATTTTAATGCTGTTTCTGATGTCGCGGCAGCCATGCAACAAGGACAGCTCTGCTTCCAGTCTTCCAGGGACTACACCTCCTGCGTGGAGCCGTTTGCGTCTTTCTCAGCCAATGAGAGCTTCCTGGCTCTGAAGAAGAGTGTGGTGTCTGCGCAGATCCATAATGAGATACACCGGGTGGAGGTCCTCAAGTGCCTGAACCTCACCACCAAAGCCCACGTCAAGCTGCCCTTGTTTGCAGAAGGAGAGTTCCGGGAGTTGTTTGAGGATGCTGGACCAGGGACCATGCAGGAGCTGTGCCATATCCCAAAACTGCCGTGCCACGTCAGAGTGGTGGGGCCAGATACTTCCATGGCTAGAGACCCTCTGTATGGAACGGAGGAGCTGAGGGTTGAAAACATTATCGTGGAGCAGTGCCTCATAGCCAAAGACGAAACTTTACCAGGGGTCTTGGATTCTGCAGAAGACATATACCAGGACTTGCCAGAAGCCACGTTTGAAATCCCAATTGAGAAGTCAAGCTGTGAGGTGTTGGTGATAGAAGAACGTTTTTGGGGAGCTGATGTCGGAAAGGAGAGATGCACGACTCTCCAGACCATCCAGGAGATCACTGAGGAGGAGATGCTCACCTTTAGTAATTGCCTGATATTTCCTTGCCCACCGCCACCCCTTCCAAAGCCCAGAAGTCTGTCTTAAAATAGAAAATATGACTATTAGACCTTGCTTTATTGACAGGATGCAGCAGCATCAACCAATCCCTCAGGAATTGAGTATTTGGGGTTCACTGGAACCGATGTGGGGGCTCAGAGGAAATCAGGGGTGTCACCACTACTTGTTATTCCCACCTCTCTCATACGTTTGCCATAAGTTGTGTTAGCATTCTGTTCCTGTGACAGAATGCCCGAATAATAAATTCATGAGGAAGGCCGGGCGGTGGTGGCGCACGCATTTAATCCCAGCACTCGGGAGGCAGAGGCAGGCGGATCTCTGTGAGTTCGAGGCCAGCCTGGTCTAGAAGAGCTAGTTCCAGGACAGGAACCAAAACCACAGAGAAACCCTGTCTCAAAAATCAAAAATAAAATAAAATAAATAAATAAATTCATGAGGAAAGAAGGTTCATTTGGGCCCACAGGTTCAAAGATGTTAGTCCATGATCACTTGGCCCCACTGCCCTTGGCCTGTGGCATGGCGGCACATTGCAGTGGGTCAAAGGTGCCCACTTCATGATAAGTGAGAAGCAGAAAGGCTCCACCTCCCTTTTTACATGCCCCCCGAAACCAAACTCCCTTCATCAAGGCTTCTCCTCTCCTTTAATAACTTATTGAAATTTACTTGATGAGTATTGGTGTGAAGGTGTCAGATCCCCTGGAACTGGAGTTACAGTTGTGAGTCGCCATGTGGGTGCTGGGAATTGAACCCGGGGTTCTCTGGAAGAGTAGCCAGTGCTCTTAACCTCTGAGCCATCTCTCAGCCCCAAGTTCTACCCTCTCCCAATCGCACCATGAACCAGAGACTAAGCCTTTAACACATGAGCCTTTCTGGGACACCTATCCAGACCATCGCAGCTCTGGGAGACAGGCTTTTCCCTTGGTGTGCATGGGAAGCTGGCCTCTGATGTTGTGGTATGGCCACAGTACTCCTCTTTTAATTAAAGTGAAGTTCTATCTATTCAGCAGGACCATGTGTTTGTCATTGAACACGATTCTCCCTACGGCCCTCCATTTGGAATAGCTGCCTCTCACTGATTCCATTGTAACAGCACCCTACCCAGAGTACACACTCCAACTAAACTCTGTTGGACGGATGATTGAGTGCCCACTTTGGTTTGTTAGCACCTACGTCAGCCCTGGGTCGGCCTCCTTATCCCTCTGTTAGAAAGGTGCCATCACCCCCAGTTGCCCAAGGCAGACACATGGAAAACTTGCCCTTACCCATCCAACTAATCCGTCACCGTATCCTACCAATTTCTACAATTCCTGTCAATCTCTCACCTTTCACCTTTGCCCAGTCCCATCTCAGATCCCTGCCTCAATCCACGTGCTCCCTTTGTCATTGTTATTCTCCTATCAAGTCCAACCACCTTCCTGTCGGTTCTCCCCATTCTCAGAAGAGCCGGGTCTTTAAGACCAAGACATAAAGAGAGAAAGCAACCAAAGCCCTTGGGGTATCTCTGCTGCCTTAGGGTGAATCCCAGCTATCTGGAACACTTTCTAGGGGTGTTCATACACTGCCCTCTAGTCTGCATCGTTATTGTGGGAACTGCAGCCCCGAGTTGATATCCCTGCCCCCATTTGAGGTGCTTATCTGCAAGGAAAACATAATAAATTCCCTCTGCTCCTGGAGCGGGGAAGGAAGGAATTTTGAGTGCATGGTGACCGTTCCTTGATCCCTGCCAGGGTCAGGTTACAGTCCCTTCGCAGCCCCCTTCTCATTTGGTGCCATGGTATAAAGCCAGCCCCAGCAAGACAATAAAAGAAGCTGTTTCACCTCAACCTCGTGCTCTGTGCATTCATTCAACCTGGACACCCTCTACTGAGATTCTTGGTTCCAGCCTGCGCTGGCGTGGCAGTTACCTCTCCCCTCTACCCCTAGCCTGTTTCTCTGTCACTCTACGTTCAGGATGAGGCCAACTCTCAAGTTCTCCAGCCTGGCTTTGAGCTGAAGCTCACACTACAGTCTTGCCTGCACTCCTCTGCTTCCTTAAAACCAGTTTAGTCCCTGCTCTGACTGCTTCGGAAACATCCTAGCTCGGTGGCTAAGAATGCATGGACTGCAGTTAGTTATGTATCACCAATGATTACACCCCCGTAGTGGCAGCTCCTCCTCTCCGGAGCCTTGTGTCCACCCTGCAAACTGGATGCTCCCGACTCCCGTTGACTCAGCGTTATAGAACTGAAGGAGATGACCTAAAAGTACACAGTACAAGGCCTGTAGCAGAGTGGGCAGACACTAGACAGGGGCTCGGTGAGTGTGTCCCCATCGCTGCTCTGCGGTGGCTGAAATGAGAACTGTCCTCCATAGGCTCAGGTATTTGACACATAGTCTATCATTTGTGGCGTTATTTGGAGATGTCATGGGACCTTGAGGAAGGGCCTGAGTGATGGAGGAGGGTCATCTGTCTATGTGTTACTCTCATTGGTTAGTAAAGAAAACTGCCTTGGCTTTTTGGTAGGGCAGGATTTAGATAGGCGGAGTAGACAGAACAGAATGCTGGGAGAAAGAAAACATAGTTGGGCAGACGCCATGGAGCCAGCCGCCAGGTCAGACATGCTGAATCTTTCCTGGTAAGCTGGCACCTCGTGGTGCTACACAGATTATTAGAAATGGGTTAATCAAGATGTGAGAATTAGCTAATAAGAGGCTGGAACTAATGGGCCAAGCAGTGTTTAAAAGAATACAGTTTCCATGTAATTATCTTGGGTAAAGCTAGCCAGGAGCCAGGCCGCAGCCCGCCCCTCCTATCACTACACCTGAGGAAGTATGTCACTAGGGACCGACTTTGAGAGTTCATAGCCTTGTCCCACCTCCAGTTGCTCTCTCTGTCTCATGTTTGCAGTATAAGATGCGATCTCTCAGCTTCTCGCTCCTGCCGACCACTCAGACAAGCTTCCCTGCCAGAATGGACGCTTTCCTCCACAAATTGCTTTTGTCATTGCATTTTATCACAACAGAAATATAACTACTACACACACCTACCCCCTTATTCAATGGCACAAAGCCACTGCCTACAAGAGGACAGCCTCCTTCACTGAAGTGAGATTAGAGAGTCAAGAACTTGGAACTGGGAGAGAGATGGTGGGTCTGGGGACACGGATCCAGGGACCACCCTGTAGAGAGAGAGCCAGGTGCTATGCTGCCGCTATGTGATTGCTGGAGCTGCCTTGCTCTAAATATCTATGCTGAACTCCTTTTGGCAGAAAGGGAAACAGAAAACCCAGTTTGTCAGTCTGGTGAGAGGTTTAAGAACAGAGTAGGAATCTGGAAGAGCTTTGGAGACCAGCAGCGTACTGGGAAGGTCATCCTGGGATGAATATGAAGAAGCCAGGAAACGGGGGAAACAAAACAAGATATCTAATGAGCACGTCCTGCTACGAGCCACAAGGCCCAAATCATCAGGGGCCTCTGGTTAGGTTAGGGTCAGCAAACCACAGCAGGTAAACCAAGTTCGTTGAGTTCCTGTGAGCCAAAAGGTAAGGCTGGTCACTATGACTTTAAATGGTTGGAAGATAATCCAAGGAAGAAAAGTATGTTGTGACATGAAAGTTACTGAAATTCTTGTTTTAATAGATGCAGATAATTTTTTATTTGTTGCAGAGCCATGCCCATCTATTTGTGTATGTCCATGCTATGGCTTCTCATACTATAATCTAGAGATGAACGATTGTGATAGGGACTTAGTCTACCAAGTCTAAAATATTTACCATACTGTCTTTTAAAGGAAAAACTTACCAACACAGTCCTGGACCAAGCTTCAGGACTGTGCCAATCAGAGAGCAAGAACCCTTCGATTATTTCTCAAGGAACAGGAAATCCAAGGGTCTCAATTGGTCTCTCTGTCGGTCAATCATGCTCTTGAAATCTCTATGGCAGAGTCACGGGTTCTTACAGCTGGAAGTTGGTTGCAGATTTAGACATGGTGCCAAAGTGAGCCAGGCGGGCGGGGCACAGACAGCTCCTGCCGCAGGGAAACTTCTCTAAGTGTGCTCCCGCTGAGCAGCCATCAAGTTGCGGCACGTGAGTACGTGCAGAGGGGCAATTATGAAGAGTAGCTCCTCTGTAATAAGGCTATCCCGTTAGGAAGGATCTCCTCTGGGGAGGGGAGAGGAGGGGAGCGCAGCGCCAGGCTCTTTCTGCTGAGTGGGCTGTACCATCACATGCAGATAGACCAGATGAGGTGCAGGAACCGTGCCGGGAGCCGACTCACAGAGGCAAGGTTCGAGCAAGCAAGAAGGGGTGTGAGGAAGACAAACTGTAGAGACCCAGGGTCTGGGGAACCCACTGTGTGCAGAACTACCTTCCTCAAAATTCTAACATCTGAAACACTGGAGGAAAGAGCAAGAAGAGAAAACCGAATTGGCCAGTCTGCGAAACCTCGTAATAAGAGAATGCCCAAATTCATGGTTGAACCTAAGTAGCATGGGCACCTATCTTCAGTCCCGGAAGAGAATGGGAGCCGGTCTTCTCTCCCTTCTAGCAGAGAAGCAGACTTGGTCTCCTGTTTCTTGTCGCTCACATGCTGTATTCACACAGCTCCTTTACATCATCTTGACTCCCTGTGGGGGTTTAGAGAGCAGAACTCCGTTCAACCAGAAAAATCTAATAGGACAATGACAATGAACGAAGGAGGAAAATGAAAAGTCCAAGGAGATCAAATAGAAGGACGAATAAATGTGTTAAACGATGCTCATCTTGGCCAGAAGTGACTTTGTCCCTAGGTTTCTAGCTGCAGAGTCATAGATCAGAGCTAAGCTTTTGTGTTTGTCACACAAAAGTTTCCTGGCATTCTAAGGAAGGGGAGGGGAGGGAGCAGGAGGACAGGAGCCGGTGTTCCTTTTGATCCCCATAGAGATGAAAGGAGACTGTTTGAAGGAGGGCAATGATCTTGGCTGGGAAGATGGCTCAGGCTATGAAGTGCTTGCAGGCTGAACGCAAGCCCCCAGAACTATATATAATGATTGAGAACTTTTGTTTTTATTTTTGTTTTTTATGTCTATGAGTATTTTGCCTGCATGCATGTATGTGCTCCACATGTCTACCTGGTGTCAGAAGTATGTGTCGCATCCCCTGAAACTAGAGTTACAGGAGATTGTGCACAGTCAAGGGAGTAAGTGGGTACTGGGCATTGAACCGCAGTCCTCTGGAAGGGTTCAGGTACTCTTGACCACTGAGCCAACACTCCAGCCCTCTGATTATTGGTGGAGGGCCTTGGGGATTTGGGGGGAAGAATGTTGTTGGGTTTTGTTGGTTGGTTGGTTGGTTGGTTGGTTGGTTGGTTGATTAGTTGGTTTTGGCTTTTGATTTTTGGCTTTTTTTGAGACAGAGTTTCTCTGTGTAGCCCTGGATGGCTGTCTTGGAACCTGCTTTGTAGGCCAGGCTGGCCTCACAGTCACAGATCACCTGTCTCTTCCTCCTGAGTCATTTCAAATTAACAGGGGAATATTCCTTTTGGGGGGTAGTTAATTCCAGAAGTAGTCAAGTTGACAACCAAGAGTAGCCATCCTACACACACACGGGGGGGGGGGGGAGGCGGATTTTTTAATGAAGGAGAACTATAACTTCAGTTGCTATTTTTTAATTTCAAAGAAGATCTTGAATTATTTTCTCACTAGAGAACATGGATGTTGAAGTAAGAGGAAGACATTCCGGATGGATTGAGGAGGTAGTGGGTGCACAGATATGAGGTAGCATGGATAATAATTACATCCTGTGTTCTATCAAAAGCACACATGCCACCTGGGTGCGAAAGCAAGCACTCTTAATCCCAGCACTTGGGAGGCTGAGGCAGGAGGACATCAAGGTTGAGGACAGTCTGTGTTACACAGTGAAACTGTCTCAAAATGAAACAAAAAATAGTATGATCTGCTATGTCTGGAAAGTGATATATGAGCAGTCAAAGAAACATCTGGTATTTGAAACCAGAAGAGATGGCTCTGGGCCTGTTCCTTTCTCTGTGTAGGTGCAGGCCGGGCTGGCTGGGTGGGGAGACCTTGAGTACCCTGTGGCCCTGTGGAAGTGGTGTAAATTGACCTGCCTCCCCAAACCTCCGCTCCTGTCTGATGCTGGACCTTAGTAAGCTGGAATAGGAGACCTGCTCTCTTCCCTCCTGCTTGTTTTTTAGTCATTGAGACAGTCGCACTGAATAGTCCAGGCTGACCTGAGACTCTCTATCTAGCCCACATTGGTCTTCTGCTGGCAATCCTCCTGCCTCTGCATCCTGAGTGATGGGATTGTAGGCATGCACACTCATCCCCGGCTCTTTCAGCTCAACCTTCTCTAAGTAGGCTCTGACCCGGGACCTTTTCCTAAGTCATGAGCATAGCAGACCTTGCACAGCACATCCGGGTGGATCTGACTGCGTCTGTCAGAGTCTCGCGGTGCTGTAGAGATGACAGACAGTTTGGAGGACAGTCTGCTCTTCCTAGACGCGTGGAGTCTGCTGTGCACAGCCCAATTATCTGTCACCCCTTTGACTGATAACAGCCTTGTACGGACAACACAGAAGAGTCAAAGTCAACTGTGATTTGTGAGATGGTGCCAGAAGCTATGGGCTGGCTTTATATGTCCCGTTACTTAGACTGGGAATATGGCTCTTTTCAATAGTACTAGCTTTATAGAAAGCCCACAAATATTTCTTTTTTTTTTAATTAGTACTTTCTTAGGTGAGAAAAGTAAAGCACACTAAAAACATCTATATAGAAAGACTATCTTAGAACAAATGGAAAGATGTGTGCCAAATTCGGGGAAATATGTCTAACAGTT